AACCAACCAAATTCCTGCATTCTGGTCTGAACTATGTTTAAAAGTTACAGTGGCTCCAAAGAAACTATTGATTCTGAAGTAGTGGGTTTTGATTGAGCTATTTTTTTAAAAAATCGATTTGGATTTTAATTGTGATGTAGAAGTTATAGTAATGAAAATTTGGTTTTGTACAGATATTTTTTTTCTACTTTGGTGGATAAGCTCAATAAAGGCCATATCATCCCAGCCCCCACCTGTCCCCCCTCAAAATATGGGGTGGTGTTATATAGCCTAGGCTATCCCTATAGCTCTGTAAGTAGCCCAGACTAGCTTCAAAGTCACTGTCTTCCTGCCTCAGCCTTGATGCTGGGATTACAGGCCTACACCAGTCTAAGAAATTTCAAACGTCCTCAACTCTCTAACTCTCTCTTTTTCTCTCTCTCTCTCTCTTCTTCTCCATCTCTCCCTCTCCCATACATACCCCCTTAATGCTGGGATTACAGGCCTGTACCAGTCTAAGAGATTTCAATGTCATTATTAATCTCTCTCTCTCTCTCTCTCTCTCTCTCTCTCTCTCCCCCCTCCCCTCCCCTCCCCTCAATGTTGAGATCATATACCTATATACCAGTCTAAGAATTTCAAATGTTTTCATCACACACACAGATATACACATCCCTCATACAAAAGAAAACAAGTATGTGAAGAAACATATGTCAGCTACTTTGAGTTAGCCATTCCATAATATGTGCATATTCCAAAATACTGTTCTGCCTGGCAACACATATACTTTCCATTTCTCAGCTTAAAAAAATCAACTACTGCTGGGCATGGTGGCGCATGCCTTTAATCCCAGCACTCGGGAGGCAGAGGCAGGTGGATCTCTGTGAATTCAAGGCCAGCCTGGTCTACATAGTGAGTTCCCAGACAGCTGGGGCTACAGGGAGACCCTGTCTCAAAAAGACCAAAAAAAAAAAAAAAAAAAAAAATCAACTACTTTAATAAAGGAAAAAAATCCTATTTTGCTCATAACTATGGAGGATCGAAGATACTAGCAGCTGGGGATTCTTCTAGAGGTTGTAATAACTATTACACAACCAAAATGAGCTTCCAGTGTGTGCAGGAATAGTGCTAAGCATTTCATAAATTAGTCCTTCCAATAAACCCATAGATTTATTATAATGATCAAACCCACTTCAAACATGAAGAAACTGATGCTTATAGAGCTTAACTGGCTCAAGTTTACCCTGCTGATAAATGGCAGGATGAAGATTAGGCCTTGGATCTGCCTGACTTTTGAGCTTGTGCTCTTACCCACTGTGCCATACAACTGCTATGATGCTATTACTGCTGCCAAGCACACTGCGCAGACATGTTAATAATCCCTTGTAAACATGCATAGCTATGTGGCCTCTTCTTAGAGTTCCCTTCCTCTATACTCAAGAGAGGCTGAAAGCCTGGCTTTACTGAAAGTGTTATGAGGTTAATTGCCTTTTACCAAGGTCACATGCACAACAGGCAATTGGTGGAAATAAAGTCACACAACTCAACAGCAATCATCAGACTTCTGGCTCAATATTCTGTTAGAATTTTTTCTTTCACTCTGCAGCACACAGCACAACCATATGAAGTAATTTGGCTAGAACTATATCTGACAGTATAAGAGCTCAACAAGTATTTGTTCAATAAAGGAATGAATGTGAGATATCACTAGCATACAATGAAAGTTATGCTGAATTATTGCTATCAGGTCCAACGTAGTAATATAGATGCATTTTATGTATTGGCTTATGATTTAAAAAGTTCTTTCCATCATAGGCCACATGAATTATGCTTAAACACTAGAAACACCTATGAGAGAAAGGCAGAATGAAAGGGCCGTGTAGGCAAATGGAAAGGGATGAAGTGGTGAAGAGCCTATACACTTCACATGATACCCCCTGGAGGGGCTCCATCCATTAGGAACACTTAATAAGACCAGCAGTCCAGGAGAGCTAATAGGTCCTTTAGAATAAAATTCAAATTGCAATGGTGTAAAAGAAACTACACAGAACTATGTTCTATGTTCTTTTAGAGAAAAGGATTCATTATACTTTTATAAATGCCCAGTTGTGATCTATTTTTAAAATGAAATACACAGAATGGCATATTACAACTGATCCAGCTTTTGTAATGAGGATTTTGGAACTTGTAACTGGTAGTATTTATACCTCATATACATTAACAGCTTGCTTTATTTAAAAAGCAGAATCAGCTGGGTGTGGTGGCACACACCCTTAGTCCCAGCACTCAGGAGGCAGAGGCAGGCAGATCAAGGCCAGCCTGGTCTACACAATGAGTTCCAGGCTAGCTGGGGCTACAGGGAGACCCTGTCTCAAAAAGACATAAATAAATAAATGCAGAATCACAGGTCTTCTAATTTTCAGAATACAATAGTGATCTTTTTGAATGACACCAGGCTACTTTTCTGGCTAATTACTGATTCTGGTTTTTTTTCCACTTGCTTTAATTTCATGTGTATGAGTGTACTGCCTGCATATATGTAAAGTGCACCCATGTTGTGCAGTGCCCAAGAGGGTCAGAAGAAGGTGTTGGGTCTCCCGGAACTGGCATTATAAGTGGTTGTTAGCTGCCACGTGGGTACTGGGAATCGAACCTGGGTCTTCTGCAAGAGCAATCAGTGCTCTTAACTACTAAGCCAACTTTCCAGTCCCCTGATTCTGTTTTTTAAATTAAGATGAGTAAAAAAAAATTTTCTTTACAGGTGACTAAATGATTATAATCAGTTTTTTTGGTGCTTAGTACAAGTTAGAAAAAGGAAAACAACAGCTAATATTATATAATATAAAGACTGAGCTAAACATACTTCTCTGTTAAATATACTGTAAATAAATAACACACTTTGCTTTTTCTGAGTATGTACTTTGTGCCATGAGCTGTACTAAGTGCTTTATAGACACTGTTTCCACTCTGTGACAAGCCCATGAGCACTTGGTCGTCACATGGCCAGGAATGCGCAAGCAACTGATGCTGACTGGTCTATCTGCCTGTGGGCCCACAGATATATTATTTAGCTTCTCTGTCTCTTCTGTAGAGTGAACATACCAACACTGCCTCTCAGTCTACATGCAAGATTCATGAAAGCAGTACTGAAAGCACCCAAGACAGTGTTTGGCAGAGTCAGCACCCTATTCAGTCACCTGTCAAGCGTGGACCCCTGAGTAGGAGGACTGCAAACACCACCTGGCCAGGGAAGGACTAAAGAAAACTTGTAGCTGATAACTACAGTCATTCCTGACAGAAAACAGACAACAAACAATGAAACTAAACAGAAAGCCCAGAGACAATCCTCTCAAAACTAAATATTGACACTAAAAGTACATATTCATCAACTCTAAGAGACACAAACTCTGGATCTTTCAGATGCTTTAACTTAGAAACAATACATGCAATAAAGGACAAATTTACTTTCTATGGTTTGATAATTTGGTGAGAACACTCATAGCCAACACTATAAAAACATTATTCTTAAAATATTGTATCCCCTCAATGGATTTATGTGAAATTAGTTTTTAGACAAGATCTTTCTATGTTACACAAAGGGGATCCAATTTCTGGGCTCAAGTGATGTTCCTGCCTCAGCCTTCTGAGTAGCATGGACTACAGATCTGTACCACTATATCCAGCTTATCCACTCTGAGTAGTGTAATGAGCTCTCTCGTTGTTCAGCTCCATCCTTCTTAGGAAGTGAGCCATCCTTTTGTCCAGCATGTTTGTATCACCTGTTAGTCACTTAGCAGTCACCTCAGTTACTGGACCTAATGTCACAATATCATAGTGCTTCTCTACAGCATGGTACTATCTGTGGTCTCAGTCATCCAGTGGAGGTCTTGGAACATATACTGCACAGATAAAGGAGGGCTGCTGGATGTCATCTAATCTTAACAATCCTATGAGGCAGAAACTATTGTCACAGTCCTGCAGGAAAGTAAAATGTAGGTCAAAGGGGTTATTGCAACTACCCACAGTCCCATGGCTTATGCAGAGCCATAGGATTTGAACTGGTAGTTTGGCTGTGGGGCTCAGTCACTCTACCACCACACTTCCTATCTACCCTAACCCTCCTCCCTACCCCCTCCCACTTCCTTTTGGTGTTGGGGTTAAACCCAGGGCCTGGTGTATGCTAGGAGGAGACCCTACTGCTTTATTTCCAGACCCTCTGAGGTCTTAAATAAAAAAATTTAATGCTGGCAAGAAGACTGTAGAGAAATGGCTATGGGTGGAGAGACAATGTCTACGGTTATATTTTGTAAAGATAATAACTTCAAAATAGGTAAAAATTTGAACTGGAATAGCCTTTGATTCAATGATGATTAATAATGATTGTCAATTCGATTGAATTGAGAGATGTGTGGTGTGTCTGTGAGGGTGTGTCTAGAGACGACTGACATATGGGACAGAAACTGAGGGGGAAAGACCCAATCTAAATGTCAGCTGCACCATCCACCAGGTGTGTCCAGAAAAGGTCGAGGGAGAAATGAGGCCACAGGAGCAAGTTCCATTCTTCCTGACAAGTGTCTGTCACTGCTGCTGTGGCCCATGGACAGACACCAGCTTCTTTTGTCTTTCAATGCAGACTCACACCAGCAACTCTTCAGGGAGCTTCCAGACCTTCAGACAAGGCAGGGAACTCATCATTGGTCCTGAGGCTTCCAGCTTCTGAGATTAAGTGGTGTTGGATTCTCTGGCTTTCTAGTATGTAAATGGCCATCATTGAATCAGCCTCTAACTCATCTTTGTAACTTTGAAGAAGGTAATACTCATGAGTGGGTTCTAATACATTTGTTTAACACTGTTTTACATTACTTTTACAATCACACCTCAAGTGTTTTCTCTCTTAAGGAAATTTGCTAGTTGGCAGTATGTGACTAGAAGATTACATACTGAAAATCAGAAAAGCCATTGTCTTACAGAAATGGAAAAACTCATCCAGTGCACTGAGAACTATTTAGGACAAGCCTTACCTCAACAGATGATGGGGAGTTTGATGGTAACGGGAAAGGAGTAACGGCCATTTGGTTGACTGCGTCTTCATTTCTGTGGATGGGTGAGACAGGCAGAATCAGTGCTGGATAAAGGCTAAATTCCTGCTCAAATTATAAGTACTTTCTTAGTCTCAGTTCAAACTGTGCACATTCACAGAATTAAATATGTATATGGACATAGGTTCCAAGTATGCAAAGCTATTAGACTCAAGGATAGATGCAGCACTCAAGAGATACTCAGACACAATTATTAATGACAGAATGATGATGCTAGGAGTCAGTAAATACAGCCTGGAAAGTCTGGTGCTATAGAAAACAATTCTGGAAAGGCGTCAGCTCTTTTGGCATTGTGGAATGTCAATTTTTCAAATGGGCATGCATGGCCTCTAGGGACCCTCTTGTGTCTACAGAGCTGTGTTCTTTGAGCTGGAAACATTCCCGGCCTCCTCATTTGGTTTCAAACTTTGTTCTGTGAAGGATGGCAGGATATCTCCAACAGGCACTGCATGGTGGACTGTGAGGAGGAGTGATGGTTGCGGAGCATGGAGTTCCAGAAGACAATGCCTTGTGGGCTAGGTGAATATGGCTTGTCATCTTAAAGGAGCAGATTAGTAAGTAGGAGCTGGAATCCAAACAGCAGGGGGACAGGGACACAACAACCAAAAAATACTAGTTTTGATTTTTGTGGCTTATATCTACTACATTATTAGCAAATGATAGGCAGTGGTGCAGTGGGAGATAATGACTATTCTTCACTATTCATTCATTATACAGGACCAATATAATTCTGGTAAGATTCATATGAAGCCTAAATTTTGTTTTTTTCACAAAATAAACCAATAAAGTTCACAAAGATAATTTTTGCTTAGGACCTAAAGGCTGGGGATGTAGTTCAATGGTACAGCATTTTCCTAGCATGTGTTGGGCTCTGAGTTTGATGGCCCCAGCATTAAAAAAAAAAAAATCCAAGACAGACTTCATAGATGTCTCCCTTCTAGAGAAGCAACTGCCTGATTTGGCAGCTGGGTAACAAGTCCATTGGCCCACGTCATTCCTGCTCTGGCCTTTAATCACATCACTACCTGCCTTGAAAAGCCTGCCCAGTCAGTTTCTATGCACCTACCCATACTTCTTTAGTATGAATTAAAAACCTCAACTAGATGATTTACCCCTTTAAGTTCAAAGACTTTATATTTGCGTCTGCTACATTTACATATATGCTCAGACCATTATCTGAGCTTAGGAGCTGTATAGCCAGCTCCCCACTGTACATTTCTCTACCAGATGTCTTACAAGCACTGAGAAAAATAAAACTTTTCATTCCACTCAGTCCCCAGATGATTCCATAGTCAATTCTCCTTACTCAGTAAGATCTGCCCTGCTGTTCAACCAGGAACTGAGGGTCTTCTTAAAGATTTATTACATAATGTACTTTGATCAATTCCCCCATTATTCTCTTATTCCCGTCCCCTTACCACTGAACCCCCTCCTTTTTCCCAGCAAGTCCTCTCAACTATGCTCATGTCTAACCTGTGTATGTTTGTGTCTCCAACTGCATTTAATTAGGGTTGCTGGCAGACCACAGGTGGGGAGCTAAGAGTCTTGAAACCTCCAAGCTCTCAGTGTTACTTTCAACTCATCGATGTCTTGTGATTCTACTTTCAAAATTTATGTTAAATCTTCTGACTTCTTTCCAGCCCATCCTACTGATTAGCTTCTTATTTGATTTCCCTACCCGTGTCTTCTCAGCAATCTCCTCTACAACCCATTCTTCACTCAGCAAAGTTATTATGGTCTTAATAGTTAAATCTGACTGTAGTTCTTTCTTTATTTCATTTGAGACAGGTTGGCTTAAAATCCTCCTATAGCTTCCTTCTTTCCTTCCTTCCTTCCTTCCTTCCTTCCTCCCTCCCTCCCTCCCTCCCTCCCTTCCTTTTTAAAATTATGGGCTGGAGAGATGGCTCAGTGGTTAAAAGCACTGGTTGCTCTTCCAAAGACCCAAGTTGGGTTCCCAGTACCTACATGGTGGCTAACAACTGTCCTTAACTCTAGTTCCAAAGGATCTGACACCCTCCTCTGACCTCCATGGGCACTTCATGCACACGGTGCACTTATATACATGCAGGCCAAACACCATACACATAAAAACAGAATAAATAAATTTAAAAATTTTTATTTTATGTGTATGAGTGTTTTGCCTGCATGCATGTAAGTGTAGCTGTGCATTCAGTGTCCACAGAGGCCAAATGAGGGCACTGGATCCCTCTGGAGTTACCATGGTTCTGAGCCCCCATGTGCGTGCTGGGAACTGAACCTGGGTCCTCTGCAAGAGCAACAAGTGATCTTGACTGCTAAGCCATCTCTCCAGCCCCATTCTTACAGTTTCTTATTATATTTAAGGTCTAGTCCACTGTGTTACTCATGAGATAAATATACCTGTAGCTGTGGGGCTTTGGGGAAATCACTTCTCAGAATCTTTCCAGATTGCTAAAGGAAGTAAACTGAACTAACAGAATCCTAAGCTGGTATAAATTCTTTGTGGAATGAGCAGAGTATAAAGAAATGAAGGGGCTGGGAAGATGACTAAGTTGGTAAAGTGCTTGCCACACAGGCATGAGGGACCCGAGTTTAGATCCCCAGCACCCATGTAAAGCTGAGTGGCATGTGCCTGTGATCCTTGTACTGGGAAAGTGGAGACAAGTGACCCCTGAACTCACTGGCCAGCCAGCCAGCGAGACTTGGCAAGTTTCAGAGATAGTCCCTGTTTCAAAAACTAAGGTGGAATGTGACAGAAGAAAACACCCATCATCAGCTGCTTGCCTCATACATATGCTTGAGCACCTGCATACATAGTACAATGCATACATACATTCACACACATACATATATGTATACATATATACATACATATATACATACACACACTACACATATATATCACAGACAGATACGCACATGAACACATACAGGCAAACGTGCAAAAAAAATGAAGTCTAGGAACCATTCGTTGCTTTGTCCCTTTCTTGGACTGTCCAGTACTTGAGCCAAATCAAAACAAGAAGGGAAAAAACTAAAACTATAAAGTGCCACAAAGCATGAGAAACATGTTTTCTGGCAGCATTACTGATGTCTTGAGCATGCACTATTATGTTAAGAGATGCCTATTGTTTTACAGGGGGTATAACCCATTCTTCAGCAGTTGCTCACACAGAAAAAGTAATCAGCTAACCTGGGGTAAGTAATAAGCACTTTCCCAGTGGTGAATGCCCTCCCTATTCCATTTTTCCCATTGAATAACACAACAGAGCTCAGGTCAACCTAGAGCCAAAAGCTAGCAGGACATACCTGCTCCAGATTTGGAGCTTACAGGGCAGGGTACATTTGGCAGTAATTAAGTAGATGGTTTTTCAGTTCTCTCTCAAAGGTTACTACCATTGAAAAATGGCTGCATATAAATTCATATTGAGGGGTCATGATTAACTTGTTCTAGGCTGGTTCAGGCAAGCTATCTCTTTAGAATTTTCACAAATTAGTATGACTTCAATGCCATTTAAAGTTCATTAAAATTTTTTTAACCTCACATAATAGAAAACCTATGATTATTCCTAATGGAGAGAGGAAATCTGTAAGAAGTCAAAGTTCATAATCTTTTATAATCTACTTGCTATCGATTGTTAGCACACCAGCATCAAGTTGGGGAGAGCTGACAGAATAGAAATTTCAAAGAGGAAACACACAGCAAAAGCAAAGCAGAACAGAGACATTTACACTTTAAACAAGCAGTTAGCCAGGATGACTTTCTGAGAATCTTCAATACCTCCATAGTTCAAGATTCTCATAAAGAATCAAATCTGTTTGCTTTATTTATTTTTGATCTTTTTGAGACAGGGTTTCCCTGTAGCCCCATCTGGCCTGGAACTTGCTATGTAGACCAGGCTGGTCTCAAAATCACAGAGATCTGCCTGCCTTTGCCCCCCCAAGTGCTGGGATTAAAGGCATGCCACACCATGCCCAGCAGTCATTTGCTTTGAAACTAGTCGTATCATTTGAAACTATGTATTCGATCTGTTTTCTCACTGTGTACTCAGCTGTTTAAGTTTAACTAGCCTCTAAGAAAACAAAGTAATCAGCCCTACTCTGCCTTAGACTCCCCATGTAATCAACTTTTACAAGCCGAGTTAAACAAATAACTTTAATCTCAAACCATGTTCCCTAATTTTCCCTCATGACCTTTCAGCCCTGATGCAGAATAACTCTCTCTCTTTCTCTCTCTCTCTCTCTCTCTCTCTCTCTGTGAAATGTGATAATTAGATCTAATATAATTTCTAAAAGTAGCAATGTTTACAGCAAATTATCCACAATAAATATTGAAAATAACATGTGGGCACAGGTTGATAATTTTGTTTGCTGTTTTGTATTCATTCTGGATCAGTAAGGGTCAGAAAAAGCAACTTCTTCCTTTACAAAACTTCAATTAAAGATTTTTTTTTTTTTTTTGTCTTTTTGAAGCAGGGTCTCCCTGTGGCCCCAGCTGTCCTGGAAGTCAACTATGTAGACCAGGCTGGCCTTGAACTCACAGAGCTCCCTCCTGCCTCTGCCTCCCAAGTGCGGGGACTACAGGTGTACGCCACCACACCCAGCCAATTAAAGATTCCCCCCGCCAATTATTTATTTAATAACCACATACTTAGGAGAAGCATTTCATTACAACAGTATTGACATATTCAATAATAATTTTCTGAGCTAAGATGCATCTTTTTCCAAAATTGGCTGTAAATTTTTAGGTTTACAGTTTAATTATTACAGTTATACAATATTGTACTCAGTATAAACCCTATAAGACATAAAATTAAATGAGGTTTTAACCTTTAAAAAAGAACTCCACTTCATTATTAAAATACAGTTTCATACAGAAAAATTCATTTTCAATGCAGTTAACGTTAAGATGTTTGCACATGAATTTCTAATCTATATATCTGATTATAACTAGTGACAGTCGGTTACTTTCTGAGCTTCTTGGCATCTGAGCATGGATATAAAGTCATCAGGTAG